GGGACTGGGGAGGCATGGAATTTTGGGGATTTTGGGGATTTTGGGGATTTTGGGTATTTTTTGGGCTCCTTAGCGCGCAGGCGGGACGGCTTCGTGTCGTTCCACACCAGCAAGTACCGGCTGGATTACCTGGAGACGCCCTCGGGGCTGCGCCTGGTGCTCAACACCGACCTGGGCGTGCCCAGCGCCCGCGAGGCGCTGCAGCATATCTACAGCAACGTGAGCGCCCCGATCCCAAAATTCCACACCCAAATCCCCAAATTCTGGCCCCAAAATTCCCGGCGGAAGCGCCAAAATCCGCCCCAGGAGCGCCGGGATCGACCCGGGTCTCAAATTCCCGATTCTGCTCCCAAAAACTGCCCCCAATCCCAAAATTTGTGCTCCAAAGGATCTGAATCCCAAAATTTGGACCCTAAAAGCCTCAAATCCTCAAATTTTGGCCTTGAATCCCAAAATCCCGGCCCCGAAATTCCCGGCGGAAGAGCCAAAATCCGCCCCCGAAGCGCCGGGATCCGCCCGGGTCTCAAATTCCCGATTCTCCTCCCAAAAACTGCTCCAAATCCCAAAATTTGTGCTCCAAAGGATCTGAATCCCAAAATTTGAGCCCTAAAAGCCCCAAATTCCAAAATTCCGGCCCCAAAATTCCCGGCGGAAGCGCCAAAATCCGCCCCCGAAGCGCCGGGATCTGCCCGGGTCTCAAATTCCTCATCCTGTTCCCAAAAACTGCCCAAATCCCAAAATTTGAGCCCTAAAAGCCCCAAATCCGGGAATTCCAGACCTGAATCCCAAAATCCCGGCCCCGAAATTCCCGGCGGAAGCACCAAAATCCGCCCCGGGAGCGCCGGGATCCGCCCGGGTCTCAAATTCCCGATTCTGCTCCCAAAAACTGCCCCCAATCCCAAAATTTGTGCTCCAAAGGATCTGAATCCCAAAATTTGGACCCTAAAAGCCCCAAATTCCAAAATTCTGGCCCTGAAATTCCCGGTGGAAGAGCCAAAATCCGCCCCGGGAGCGCCGGGATCCGCCCGGGTCTCAAATTCCCGATTCTGCTCCCAAAAATTGCCCAAAATCTCCCCTTGGAACCCCAAATCTCAACCCCAAAGGATCAGAATCCCAAAACTGGAGCTGTAAACCAACAAATCTCCAAATTTTGGGGATTTTCCTGCAAAAATCACGGGATTTTTCCCCAAAATAATGGGATTTTCCACAAAATCTGGGGATTTTTCCACCAGAATCTGGGGATTTTTCCCAAAAATAATGGGATTTCTCCCCAAAATCAGGTTTTTCCCCAAAATAATGGGATTTTCCAGGAAATAATGTGATTTTCCTGCAGAACAATGTGGTTTTCCCCCAAATTCTGGGGATTTTCCCCCAAAATAGTGGGATTTTCCCCAGAATAATGGGATTTTCCACAAAATAACAGGATTTCCCCCCAAAATCTGGAGATTTTTCCCAAAAAGGGTGGGATTTCTCCCAAAATAACTTGATTTTCCCTAAAATAATGGGATTTTCCCACAGAATAATGCAGTTTTCCCTCAAAATCTGGGGATTTTCCCCCAGATTCTGGGGATTTCTCCCCAAAATCCGTGGATTTTTCCCAAAATCTGTTTTTTTTCCCCCAGCTTTTCGTGGAGTTGGTGGTGAAGAACCCCCTGTGCCCCCCCCGCGCCCCCGTGCAGAGCCTCCTGTTCCGGCAGCGCCTCGACGCCTTCGTCCGCAGCCTGCCCTACTTCGGGCCCCGAAATCCCAACAACTGACCCCGAAATCCCAATAAATGACCCCAAAATCGGCATCAGCGCCCCCAAAAACCCCAAAATCCCAATAAAGGACCTCAAAATCCCTGTACAGACCCTAAAATCCCAATAACCACCCCAAAATCCCAACAATTGACCCAAAATCTCCATTAGCAACCCCAAAATCCCCAAATCCCAATAACTGACCCCAAAATCCCTGTACAGACCCCAAAATCTCAATAAATGACCTCAAAATTTCTGTACAGACCCCAAAATCCCAATAACCGACCCCAAAATCTGCATCGGCGCCCCCAAAACCCCCAAATTCCCAATAATGGCCCCCAAATCCCAACAATTGACCCCAAAATCTCCATTGGCAACCCCAAAATCCCCAAATCCCAACAACTGACCCCGAAATCCCAATAAATGACCCCAAAATCCCAATAGAGACCCCAAAATCTCCATCAGTGACCCCAAAACCCTAAAATCCCAATAACTGACCCCAAAATTCCAACAATTGAGCCCAAAAACCCAATAACCGAGCCCTAAATCCAATAACTGACCCCAAAATCCCAAATTCCCAATAACCGCCCCCAAAATCCCAATAAATTACCCCAAAAATCCCAAAATTCCAACAACTGACCCCAAAATCCCAATAACCGACCCCAAAATCTGCATCAGCGCCCCCAAAAAACCCCCAAAAATCCCTGTACAGACCCCAAAATCCCAAAATTCCAATGGAGACCCCAAAATCCCAACAACCAACCCCAAAATCCCGATAAATGACCCCAAAATCCCAACAATTGACCCCAAAATCCCAACAACTGACCCCAAAATCCCAACAATTGACCCTAAAATCCCAAAATTCCAATGGAGACCCCAAAATCTCAACAATCGACCCCAAAATCCCAACAACCAACCCCAAAATCCCAATAAATTACCCCAAAAATCCCAAGAACCGACCCCAAAAATCCCAAAATCCCAACAACTGACCCCAAAATCCCAAAATCCCAACAACTGACCCCAAAATCCCAAAATTCCAATGGAGACCCCAAAAATCCCAAGAACCGACCCCAAAAATCCAAAATTTCAATGGAGACCCCAAAATCCCAACAACCGACCCCAAAAATCCCAAAATCCCAACAACCAACCCCAAAATCCCAAAATTTCAATGGAGACCCCAAAATCCCAACAACCGACCCGCAAATCCCAACAACCGAACCCCAAAATCCCAATAAATGACCCCAAAATCCCGAAATTCCAATGGAGACACCAAAAATCCCAAGAACCGACCCCAAAAATCCCAAAATCCCAAGAACCGACCCCAAAATTCCAACAACCAACCCCAAAAATCCCAAAATTCCAATGGAGACCCCAAAATCCCAACAACCGACCCCAAAATCCCAACAACCGACCCCAAAATCCCAATAAATGACCCCAAAATCCCAAAATCCCAAGAACCGACCCCAAAATCCCAACAATTGACCCCAAAATCCCAATAAATGACCCCAAAATCCCAATAAATGACCCCAAAATCCCAACATTTGACCCCAAAATCCCCAAATCCAAACCCCAAATCCCAATCCCGGTGAATTCCTCGGGGCCCCGCCCACTTCGAGCCCCAAAATCCTGAAAAATGACCCCAAAACTTTGATTGACAGCCCCAAAAACCCCAAAATCCAGAGTGAGACCCCCCAAATTCCCCCCCTCAAGGTCCTTTTTGATGAGTTGATCCCTAATTTAAATAAATTTGCATAAAACCATTTATGGTCGTTGGGTGTCGGGGGAGGGGCGGGGCCCCAAATTTGGGATTTTTCCACCCAAAAATTCCATTTTTTCACCTCAAAATTTCCCCTTTCCCCCTGAATTTCCCATTTTCTACCCCAAATTTCCCAATTTTGCCCTCAAATTCCCCAAAATTTTTCATTTCCCCCAAAATTTTCCATTTTCCCCCCAAATTTTCCATTTTCCCCCCAAAATTTTCATTTTCCCCCCAAATTTTTCATTTTTTCTCCCCAAATTCCCTTTTTTTCCCCCAAATTCCCACCGATTTTTTCCCCCATTTTTCCCCCTCAATTTTTCCCCAAATTCCCCCAAAATTTTTAAATTTTTGCCCCCAAATTTATTTTCCCCAATTTTCCCTCTTTTCCCCCCAAATTCCCACAAAATTTTCCCGTTTTCCCCACAAAATTTCCCCAAAATTTTCCCCAAATTTTCCCATTTTCCCCCAAAATTGTCCCGCAAATTTTTCATTTCTCCCCCCAAATTTTCCCATTTTCCCCCAATTTTTACCCCAAATTTCCCCCCAAATTTCCCCCAAATTTTCCCTAAATTTTCCCATTTTC